GTTAAGTCATTTAGCCATTAATTTTAAAAACAAGGTCGAAGATAATTAATATGCATCAGATATGGTCAATCTATTTATAATTTTCATTATACTGAAATTAAACACAAAATAAAGTCAATTCTAAAGTTATATGTAACATTGAGTATACATAGATACTTGCGATTACGTAATATATATTTATATGAAAAGTAGATTCAACACATATTAAAAAGTTTCATGTTTTAGTGAAACTAAATTACAAGAAAAAATTGGTCAACAGAAAATTACTGCGTTGCAGACGTTTAAAAAATTAAATTTTTGGAAAAATGTAACCTTACGATTCATTACAATATAACAATAAAATAAATATTTAATTATGACCTTTAATGTTCTTCCAAATAAAATGATGGTTACCCTTTCATTTGTTCTCCTCAAGGGCTGGCCTCGATAAAAAGATTAAATATACATAGTATTGTGTATTTTTATATAAAATTTATTCAACGGACGTCCTCATGAAGATCTCAGTGATATTATTAGTGTTCATAATAACTGCATGTGTTTCAAACGCCAAGAGATATGGTGAATTTTTTTACATATTTTTGTAGTCAGAATTTAAGTAAAGTTATAAAGCGACTTAAAACCCTTAGAACGCCAATGAAAGGTTAACTAAGTATAATTATTCGTCATATAGCTGCAATAATTTTTTATGTGGCCTTACTCTTCGAATTTCGTTTTCATATCTTGCATATAGTTTAAATGATTATTTTACTTTTTGTTGAGATATTAATAACATCAGGTATAATAAAAATCAAATGTAGACTTCTGTTAGATATATATTGGCCATTGCTATAATGTTATCTATGTCTTTGTTTGGTGCTAGTTAATAATGTTTACACTCTTTTATTGATAATTCTGTCAATTAAATTTGTTTTAGATACCCGTCGTGGTAATGCCGCTCGGGAATTCTCCGAAGAACCCATTGGTAAGCTTCACAAATATTCAATTTCAGGTTGTTACAAAACGAAAGAAAACGTGCTGTATGCACGTGTGTTATAAAGTAACTTAATTTATTTAAAAGGAAAAATATTCTTCTTATAATTTTCTTCTTCTGTAACAAAATTATATGTAAAATCGTCATAGTGGCCCATTAATTGGATAAATATTTAATTTTCATTGGTAATAATCATTTATTTTACAGTGTGTTTGTTTGACGAAGACTGTGAAGACGCCTGCCTTAGTACGGCTTCAACGCTGTCCAAGACATTATGCGTCTCTGGATCATGCTACTGCACTTATTCGGGAAAAAAGAATTGATCATCATATATCTTTGCGTCGCCTATTTATTGATTGTGTTGTAAAACATTCTATAACAAAATCATAACGTATAAAGTGTTTTATATTTTTCAAATGTATTTGTTTACCTTTACTAATATTAAGACATGTTTGGTTCTTCATATGAATTGTTTGTTCCTTGCTTTATTTTTTATTGATTCCTATTATTTTTTGAAATCTCCGAGTTCAACCGAGAGAAAAGAAAATACTAGAATACCTATACTGTCTTAATTATTAAGACTAAATTCAAGTTTGTCGTTATATGTAGGTACATATCATAAAAGTCAAATTATATTTATGGAATCAGTTGCAGTGGTCAAATGAGTAACATCATTGTCTTTACATAATCTCAAAGCCAGATACTCGTTTACACGTCAAAGTTATCTTTTTAAAATAAGCCCTTGTTCAATCACTCTGTTCACTTGATTACATTTCCTTCCACCTTCCGCCTGTACTTCGTTTCCTTCATAAGTTCTACATAGTTCGAATCTTCCCCTTTAATGTAACTGGGGTAAGTCATTAGTTAAAATGTAACAAAAGCTCGCGACGTTTGATGTAGCACGTGACTCGGAGTTAGCGGACAAAGATTTAGACGAGACAAAACACGCTTACTTAGGCTTACCTAGCGTATACAGGATGTTCATTATATGACAAGTATTAAATGAATGGTTTTTATATGAAATATTGTTAATTGTATTATAAAATATGATATATTTTAGAAATTTTCAAAAACTATTTTTGGAGTTAGTACTTTTGTAATATAATATCATCGTATTTGAAACTAAAATTTTAACAAAAATTATCTAAAAGTTTATTATAATCCCAATGTTTTATTTATAAATAACACTAATATGTATAGTTTAAGTAGTATATCTTCTGAGCACCCTGTATACATCATCTCACCTCTCCTTTGTCAGTCTCTCGCAGGCGCTGCTTCAACCGCACAACTTTTTAACGAGCACCCTCCTTTATCTGTATTGAAATGTCGGAATTTGTTGATATATAATAAATTATATTAATAAGTTAAGCATCATTAATTTATCATATGACAACATAATTTGACTCATGCCTAACTTCCTTTAATTTTTTTTGTATTTACCTTGACTACCAAGTATGTTATCTTCTCTTTATTTTATAATAAACATCAAGCAGAACGTTGTTTTGTTCCAATATATTTATTTTAAACGGACCTCCCCACATCATAAATACGCCACTCACATGATCATAAAACAGAACCCATTCAATTCGTCATTCCTTTATCAGCAAAACGCTATACCTTGGAAAAATGAGTGGATCCCGCCCTACGGCCTCTAAGACAACTATTTATCGGGGAAAATTCACATAAATCATGTTATTTTTTTGTATCTGGCAATCTTTAAGGTGAGGGTAAATGGGGTAGCAAGGTGTATGGAGGACTGCTTTTATAGCTTTTTGTTATTATTAATGGTATGGGGTGTTGATGATATGAGGAGATATATTTTTATGATCTGAGATATTTACTATCCTGTAGACGATCACAATATATTATATTAAACTCAACACAATTGCCACATTACATTCTACGTAATCATTTTTGAATTCTCCAGTGATCATTTCATACTAATCATTATTTTATTCAAATCCTAACAGACTCTATCTGTCTCTTTCCATCATACAATAAAGTATAAACTCATAGAGTTTTGCATACAAATATTTGGTATATTTCACCACAGGCACAGATAAAACACAAACCCTCCGACAATTCACAAAAGCCACTTGATGCCCGCAATTAAAATCTTAACATATACACTTAATAAACGCTATCAAGTAGGATGTGTGAAGTGATGGGACAGACGGATGTATCGATAGAATTATTAATTAATCGTTAAACAATTTTAAACTGTAATTCAAATAAAACTTTCACACTTTGTGATTACTAAATGTGAACAAATTTCATATAAATGAATATTAATTTTAATTTGGATAAAATAATATTTTATCGATAGTTAGTTGATAGTCACTATTTCATGAAACATTAAGACGCAGGTCTTTGAATTAATTACACCTCGCTAACTCTAAACAATAATCTTTAACATTTCCCTTCGCGTCCCATACTGTCGAATATTCGTTTCAGGTTGTGGTGTCACTGATACAGAGGGAAAGCTAGTTTGCCATTCAAAGTGAGATAAAAAATCTTAGAGCTCGAAAAATAATATAAATTGGCTGACTATTTAAATCTTTATTGACAGAAGATTTAAAAAAAAGATAAACATAAAAGCAATATATTGATTTTGAATGAAAACAAATAGATATAATATATTTTTTATTAAAAAATACACGAAAATAAACATAATATTGATATTTAAGGGCATTTTCGTTATCCGCTGTCACTAAGACCATATATGAAGTCGTTTACGAGGATGAACGACGTCTTGGAGACTACAGATAACCTAACGAGTAGTTCACAGTGAAAGGTATGTTGCACTACGATAAGATGATGGCCACAAACGAACTCGACAAAACTATTAGCAAATAATATTGTACAATTATACAAATATGATAACTACATACATAATCCTTACTCTCTAACAAAAAATATAAGCTACTACAAGACAGTCTAAAGTAATACAATGAAAATTAAGAATACTTTAATTTTTGGTTACTTTCAATGATTAACAATAATAAAAGGATGATTTTAATATAATTTACAAAATGGATGCTAATCTGTTTGTTAACCAGCCGATTCCAGTAAGGTCCTATAATACCACTATTCCAAATTGGCTAAAGGGTTCCAAGATCTTAATTACTAGAGAGGTGCTTAAGGGTTGAATTTACGAGGTGTTAATATGAGCCGATGGCAAACAACAAGGACCCTTATTAAATTTACCTGAAAGGCAAATGTCAATTACTTAAACTATTATAGACTATGTCAAGGGACAGCGTTACTCCTAATGTTACAACATCATTATCAAACTACATAGTTGAACTGTTACGGTTTTGAAGAAACAACTATGAATTTTTACTAGATTTTTTTGTTCTTTAATAATGGGTGAAATAAAAGAAAAATATCTTACAGTTCCTTAGCACTATATTTTTTAAATATGTGTCATAGTTACATAGTAAATCCTATAGAAGAATCCTTGAAAATTCAGGTTAATAATATTGCAAATATTTGTTTAGAATCATTTTTATGTAATTAATTATATTTACCAGGAAAACAAAAAACTCGTATGTATTCCTTAAAAAAAAGGAAACTGTTTTTGACCAATAAAAATTATAAAATTTTAATAAGTATATAATATTGATAATAACTGAAAATAATTTCATTATTTTTGTTAAACATTTAAACTAAGTTTTAGCGTTTTTGTGATTGGAGTGGTAAAAAATAATTTGAAAACAGAACGTGATGCAGCTGACAGCTATATTAGTAATATATCCTAGGATCTTCATGTACATAGAAGCTTGAAACAAACTCTTACTGCGATAATAGACTAACCACCGTCTTCATTACCACCTACCTACTGATGGAATGAAAGTCACACTCTGTCTTGTTAAAATAAAAAAAATGCGGTTAACTGTCATGAAACTACCAAAGAATTATTAACTTATATTTAGTCATTAAAATAAGAAATATTTATTTTTAAAACATATATTAAAAACGATTAGTGCTTATTAAATTAACAGAAAATACCACAATTATTATTGTTCCTTTAACCTCTCCTCGTGTACCAGAAAAGACGTAATGTCAAGAAATACACTATTTCCATAAAACTGAGAACACTGCAGCCTAGAAACAGTCCAGCCATGCCTCCGACAGCAACTGAAAGCAATAATGACTGGGATGAGAAAAACAGGGAGAGTTTTTCATGTTACTTCAGAATAGGCTTATATTATATACATCATATGTCAGTTACTTTTGATTCTGATTAGTAAAATAGGATCTTAATAATATTAATATAATCATTAACAATATTGGGGAAAATTACTTGATTTGTGGATACCATAATGAACTAATATAAATCTTCTGTAACTTACCAAGAACGTCAGTAAAACCGAATATAATGTCCCGTCTATAACGCATTCTAGGGTAAGTAACGATTCCCCACTGAAAGAATGTACCAAGGAACCACTCGTGCAGGGCCTAAAAGATTTGTTAATACGACATTATCATAATTAGCCCTAACATTAAAAAGCTATGAGCTAATTATAAAACTAAATGTCTATAGTCTTTGATCAACTTACATGTGATTGAACAATATAGTTGACATCATCGCAAATAGGAAGACATTCACAACTAACCTTCCTTCCATCTTTTGTTCTAAGTTTAATAAGATCATCTGAAAGAAATATTTTTATTATTTCATATATTTTAATCCATATTATTCTTGTGTATTATTATCCATATTTATCTTACCTTTATATTTTGCTAAACATTGCATTCCCTCGACATCACAAATTTTTTCCTTGCCTGAAACCATTATTGAGTTCTGAAATCTTTTATTTTAAAGGTAAAAAAACGTACCAAAAACAAAACTGTGTTTTAAATGTCTTTATACTGTCGTATTATATTTTTTAATCAATGTAATGTATGTAAACTAACCATTTCTATAAAAGAAAGGCACACACTTGCAGTATTTAAGACACAGTCGCAAGCGGCATTCCATACGACACATATTGTATGTATACACTGAGTTATGTTTCAAAGAGTTCTCGTGGAGGAAGCGACATCGACGTTGAGCTACACTGAGCCTGAATTAAAATAAAATTAAAGTTGTTACAAAATATAAAATTGTCGAAATAGTTTCAATTTAAAATAGTGTTAATCACTTCACATACATACTTATTAATAATGTAAAGTATTCAATACTTGAGAAACGTGTAAACTAGAAACGATTTATGTATTCTTTTATATAAACAGGACTTTTATAATAATGATTAATGAAATATCACATATAAATTCTATTTATGATTCTTATGGTTACATTCAATACAGAGTTTAAAAAGAAGAAAGGGAAAAAGTATGAATAATGACAAAACAAACAAAGAGAATAAATGATTGAATTGAAGAAGTCGTAACGTGAATGTATAATTTGTTGTGTTACTTGGCGGCCTCTGGTGATGTGTAGACCGTCATGGCGGTCACGTATATCTTCATGTAATAGTTCTCATCAGCGTAGTGACGCTTCGTTGATATATCAGGCACCTCTAACGGCCCATGGATGTAGACCTTGAAATGGGGAAATCAGAGACTATTTATTTTTGGAATGAACTGATCGGTTTGTGGTATTCCGTGTTTTTAAGCCAAGCATTACAATTGAGAACAAATGAGCAATGTTTACATTTTTATTTATTCTACAATAATGCTTATATTTTATACCGAGCCTACTCTTCAAACTTGTTTATTGTTCTTTCCGAACAAGTTTTTTAAGGTTTATTAAAAAAATAAATAAAATACAACATCGACCTATCAGATAAACACAAAAAACTTTGGAAAACCAAATTAATAAGTGTGAAATGAACGCATAGGTACATAAACAATTAAAATTCATCATATTGTACTAACCTCATAGGAACTGGATATATTATTCAGCTGAGCAAAAACCTCTCCGTCCAGAGGATGAACAAAAAATGTGAAATTCTTAGTTGTCACTATATCCCATCTATTTGCTGCTCTATACCTGAGACAAACGTTGGATATATTTAGTACAAATACAGAGAAATTTTAATTATACATTCAAGATATTTCTTCTCCACATAATATTATGCAACTTACTTAGGAGAATTATATACAGCAACCTTGGAGTTAATCGCGTAACACAAACCCATCTCAGTTATAGTGGGTTCAATCTGCAGGTTGATACCAGAGGCTCCAATAGTCAGAGAAGGAGCGAATGGTGGAGCCAAGCTAAGAATCAATTCCAAATATCTGTCAGGGCTTATCTCGTGATAATAGGGCACTGTGTTGAAATTTTCGAAATTTGCTTTAGCGAGCGCCGTTATAAATTCTCGAAGTTCGTCAGGATCTGTTGCATTTGCATTTCTATAGAGAAAAAATATTTTTTTAATTTTTGACTAGTATCACATAAAAATTCAATCATTGCCAACAACAAAAATTTAAAGTTAGGTATATACCTAATTCTATTAAAACCGAAACTTGTACTACTTTTTTTGACTTCAAATATTATAAAACAATTTTTACTTTGCTTTGCTAATCTACCAAATGACAAATATTTTACTAATATTTTTATATTATAATTTTACGCATATTTGTCAATTTCGAAATCATTATGGATATCTCACATTCAAACAAAAACATATGCAAACATAAATCCCCTGAAGAATCTTTAATGTTTGTAATATTAATAGGAGAAAGACTAATCTGTCTAACAATTTTTGTATATATAAAGTAAACGTAAAAATTCATACTTTCACTGACGCTAAATGATCTTTAAAGATATCAGTTTAAAATTTTTATGTCTCAATGTATTTGAATATTCCGTTTAATACAAAAAAAATACTTAACCTAATATAATTGGTTAGCTTCGTCGGATCCAGTTTTTTGGTGGGACAGAGAGTTATACAAGGAAAGGTGGTGTTCCAAGCAAACATGTCCCTGTCCATAGAAACAACAGTTGGTGAGGACTGATAGCGAGACCAAGTAGTCTTGGACAGGATGACGGTCCCAAACACTGAGATGATCACCATGAACAACCAGAGAAACCTTGAAAAATGTATGTGTATGCATTGTAATAGGAATACTCGTATATAAAATAAGTCGTGTTTGTTGCAGTACTTATAACTCAAGAACAGCTGAACGGATTTGGCTGGAATTTCGTGGAGAAGTAAGTTGGAATCAATAGACGGACATACATACTTTTGAATTGAAATGAAATGAAAAAATACAAAAAAAATTGATAATAAAATCCAAAATCTGTTTATTTACTGCCTCTAAAGCGAAACGGTGTGACTGGTCAGCTATGCAGTTCTAATTATGAAACTAACGCGGACAAAGTCGCAGACAAAAACTAGTACTCGTATATAAATATGATATCAATTTAAAAACTTACACTTCGAACGGATGTCTCCCAACCACAACCAAGTGGTTCAAGCCATGTATAGAAGAAGTTTCCAGGAACAAAACAATGTAATCTTTAACTTTATGAATTACTGTTTGAAGAAAATTTTTCTTTATCGTTTTACGTTCTGAATCATCCTCTATTAATTTCGTTTGAAATGTCCGTGCTGGGAACATGATATTCCGAATTTTCATTTATTATTATTCAAGTACAAATAAAAGGTCCGTCAGCGAACAGATTTAACACAAATAAACCGATGATATAATTGGAGGCTTTACAAATTCACATGTCGTGATGAAAGTCAATTATATTACAATATCTATTCAGAATCTGATAGCCTTTTCACGCTGCTCATTGGATAATTGTCATGTTCGTATTATGAGATAAATTAATTTGAACCTTATCTTTATGTAATAGAATTTACAGTTCTTTGTATTTTTTAAAGTATTATTATATATGAATAAATGATATCTTAATGAACTGATTTTATCAAAGCTAACCATTTCATTGTAATAATAATAGCTAAACTAAACTCATTATTATTTTATACAATCATTATAATCTATATCTATATCTGGCATTTTAATAATACCAGTTATAAAATATTATTTGTAACATAAAAGTCGGTCATAATTTCTCTTCAAAGAAATTATGCTCTTATGTAGTATACTACTAACTGTAGTACCTATATAACAGTTCTATTTCAATTAAGACTCATCGACTAACTAAAATGACTTGTATTACTAACCTAGTGTGTATCTAATGTAATCCACCTATACAATTATGATAATATCGTTGGAAATATATAATATATATAAACTATAGTAGGAATATATATTTTGTTTAAACCGACGTCAAGTGAAAAGTGAAAATATTTAGGCAATTTTAATTCTCTAAAACATTTAAGTCTGTCAGGAACACCAAAATAAAAATTTTACTATATAAATATACCAATGAATACTTTTAAAAACAACTCTAAAATAATGGCTTTAAGAGCAAAAATACTATGCGTTGTAGATAATGTGAGAAGGGTTAGAAAAATGTATACATGTCATCAGTTTGACGTCTGGCTAACAACGATATTCAATGTTCTTTTAGGAACTTCAAACACTTCAACATGTCCGGGAAAGATGATGAATTATTGTTACCTTTCTTGAATTTTACGACAATGTACAGAAAATTAGATCGCTGTTTTAAAATTTAGCCAAATTTTACTGAAACAGTATCTAGTATCAAACTAATAAGATTTTTTTATATTTCTTAAGGCATAAACATTTTACAATCTACCTCCCGGAATGAGGTCTCAACTCTAATAATTCCCAAAGTGTCATGTCGCTGTGAAATAAATGAAGTGAAGAAAATAAATTTCATTTAAAAATCACGTTGGACCATTATTTTCCCGGCTTCCCCTAATTAATTTCTTGTCACCGTCTGCATCGGCCGTTGTGGCGTTGACAGCAGCATCGAGAGAGATGGAGATATGCAAATATCACTGGAGAGAGCGAGAGAGACTGTGAAAGGTGAGTGCGCTTCATTACCATCTTTGGTAGTTAGCGGAAGCAAGATACGAAGTTTACTCCGGCCGACTTCTGCTGGGAATTACTTATTATTAATGACCTAATATTAAATATAACTCAATAATAATAAGAATAAGTAACTCTACATGTATAATTACCAAAAAGAAGAGTAAAAAGTTTCCTTAGATTGCAACTCGGAAATATATTTATTGATTAAAAAAGAACTATTTTTTCAAAATAAGATAGAGTTACTTCATCTCAAAATATCCTAACTAATAAGGTGAGCATCATTATTGCTATAAAAATTACGAGTTACATATTGAATTGAATACGTGAAAACTTAGAAGGTTTGCCATTTTCATGAAAATCTGCAGTTCTTTAACTTACACTTGTATTGAGTAAATGTGTCTTAAATAAATTTTCAGTTTAACATTTTTCATCGTCATAAACTCATAAGTAAAAGGGAATCTAAAAGATCAAATACAGCGATGTAAAGTAAGACAATAAAAGAGCATATTAATTAATAAACTTTTCCTACATAAAACAAAGGTAAGTGAAATTCGCTAAGGGAAAGTACACACGAGGTAATTAAACAAGCTAATTTTCTTGTACGAGTTATATTCGAGATGTTCAGAGAATATTTACAGAAAGTAGCGAGTAAATATTTCGAACGAACCCGAACCAGAGGTGGAAATCTCCTGGGGTACATACATGTAGAGGCAGCTTCTATATCTGGAAGAATTCAATTATTATAAACACTATGTTATGAAAAAATATATAATATAATTTTGTTAAAGGAAAATAGATTCGAGTATATTCGGTCGTGGTGACCTTGTGGTTAAAGATCTCTCATGTATGAGGGATCGGGTTCGAAACCAGGCTAGTACCAATGTAATTTTTCCGAGTCATATGTACTTTCTAAGAATATTAGACACCACTGACAGACGGTGAAGAAAACATCGTGAGGAAACCTGGACTTATAATTTCACAATTATTTATTAAGTTTGAAATCGCCAGCACGTCTTGAGCAAGCGTGATGATTAATGCTCAAATCTTCTCCATGTGAGAAGAGATCTTTGCTCAGCAGTGGGCTCTGATAGACTGATGATGAATACTTTGAAGTGTTTCAAATATTATAGTCCACTCCGTATTAGCTGACTCCAGCCGCCACTTAATTTGAATACCCAGCAACTGAGTGTTTAATAAAACATTCAGTTTGATTTACATCTTTACAAATCTGTACCTCTCGTGTAAACACGCCCTACAATCTTACGACTTCACTTTTAATTTTGAATTTTCAATGAGCGACTTACTGACTTCGTAATGTTTATCAAATAAGGTATATTGTTGTACATTAAATTCATTAATTTTAATAGCTTTAAGGTGATTATAAACTCTCGTTCACAAGTTTGTATGTAATTTGCGTTAATACAACACGCTGAGTTTTATGTTCGTTATTAATTGTTTATAATCAATTTGTTTTAAAGTTGCATATTAAAATTGTTATTTAAAATAACTGAATAAAGAGATACAAAATCTCTCAGCTGTCAATGTATTCACCGTGCGGGTGCCGGGTCCATCGTTTTAGGGAGAGGAGCTTCAACAGTGACTGGGACTTGCGACCCAGGTGTAGGTTTAAGAGACCCTATCTAAAGCGCGTTAAACGCTCACCTCCACCATACAAGCTCCTCTCTCTACTTCACCAAATTTAAAAAGAACCTACTAGAGCTGCCTGCGAAGTACGTTCTGAACAAGCCCAAGTCTTTTAGTAGGTTGAAGAGAGATTTAGCTGTTATACCTCCCAATTTTAGCAATTGGAAATAAACCAGAGAAAGTAATGTTATATATTGTATAGCTTAGAATCAAATAGATGATTTGATAGGTAAAATACCCTTGTAATTATTTCCCAACATCATATATTTTTTCCATTCGTTAAGTTGATATTAGTAATGCAATTTCATAACGGTAATTATTTATTGAAATTTATCTCCTAAATGACTGCAAACTAATAACAAATTTTTACGGTTTTATCACCATAAATTCTTTTTTCTCATACTAATCAATTAAAAAAAAACATCGGTAAAAAAAAAATTGTTTTATACTATATAAACAATCCCTTCCTATCTTTTAATAATTCAAATGGCATAAAGATGTCTCCGCTCCACGCTCGTAAGTCGAAGTATTCTTTAGAAAATATTTACATATTTTCGAGACATTTCCACTGTGAAGCAATAAAAAGCAATCTACGCCAAGCCGTGAGGTAACACCTAATAAAAATTCCTGCAAATCAATGCGTTCTGTTTAACGCTTTGTATTGAATCTTATTTTGTTATTCGCCTGTGTCGTGTTAAAGGAACAATTCTGGGATCTAGTGAATAGCGCGAACAATATGCTTTGATATATTAGGAAACATTCCCGATATAGAATTGTATTATGAGGTATAACGAATTCTGAAATATAGTAACAAGTTATATAATACATACTGTTATATTAAATATTACATATCGTAGAAAAAAGTACTTTATAACACAAAAGACAATTTTTTTTGCCAAATACGCGAGCTCCTATATACTCTATACATATACATATATCTATCTAATTAATTATTTGAAAGTCAGTTAAATATTAAAACTATTCAATCGCGGTATAGCAGCAACAGTAAATAGAAAACACGTAGATTTGCGTGTTGAATGTTTACAATTTGCATTCATGTAGCTGTGTGCAATGAAACGCGGATGTGTGGATACGATTGACATAAAGGAGCTAAATGGTAGGGTCTCAGCGTTCAAACGGTTAGCAGCCGTATTTATTGGCACGTATAGGATACGCAAAAATTCCAATAAAAAGTCCCCGAGCTGAGGAATGCCGATTGAAAAGAATAATGTTTAATTTGCCCGATAAACGGACCTCGTGATTTATACGACGAAATTAGAATTTAACTTTGTTTACGAAAATGGTTTACATTATTGGCCTCATACGAGTGGTGCTTTGGGTTACATTACATTTTATAGAAATAAACGTATTTAGACAGATGCTGTGTTAGAAGTGATGACTCAAATAATTCTTAAAGATTTAGTTTTCATTACAATCATATTATTTAAAGTCAATGAACCGTTTATTGGTCCCAAATTGGTATACACAGTATTTTTTAATTATGTAAAATAAATTAAACACAATTTAGAAAAAAATGTAACTGGGAAATATATTTATCCTTTAAAAAAATATACTCGTAAGTTCAATACTTGGTATTAATTGTAGGAAGAAATAAGAGACGAAGTAAAAAAAGTAATAAGAGATTAAGTTTTATTTACATATTAATAGGTACATTCTTGTTACTAGATAAGAATATTTAAAAGTAGTAACCTAAGTAGAATATGTCTTAATAAAAACAAAAAAAAATCATTTTATCCTATTCCTACAAATAGATGGTCTTTTGACTAGAAAATATAAGTATTCCAAGTGCTTAATTTTCTTTATTCATATGAGCATATGTAGCAATATTCACATTAATGATTAAACATTTTCCTCATTCAATATTTATGAAAAAGTAATTTTACCTTATCGTAAACACATAAACAACTTTAAAGATTATATGTAAAATAAGAAAAAGGTAAACGCCAATTTAATCTAAAAGAGCAAAAAAAAAATATTCTGCTTAGGTAACTATAAACTACCAGGCATTAAGTAAAGTGAACTTATTTTGTCCTTATGTACAAAATAATAAAATTATCGACTCAGTCCAACATTTTGTGGAATGGAATTGATACCGAGAAAAAGTATCTGAAATATTTTTAGTATAATATAGGTACAGGCTCAATATTATTAATATATTTGAAAAAATCAACAAACAAACAACTTCGATGAGTACAAAACTTGTAGAAACACCAAAAGTGTAGAAACAACTTAAGTAGTCATTTGTACACATTCTATTTAGGTAATATATGTATTAATTGTATTTTAGACACTAAGATTAGGAAAGGCACATTCAACAAACTCAACTCATATTGTAAAAGATGGCAACATGACAGTACACTGAAGAAAACATCAAAATAAACGTTAGACGTGAAGATAAAATATAAGGGATTACAAAAACTAGCTAACGACCTTTGTCAAATCCGAACAGACAGGTATACCTACAATGAATGAATACTACGGTAACTAAAAAAAAATATAACAAAGAAAAATACATAAATGTTAAAATGTGTATCACAATATATAATTTTTTTCAATAACGCAAATTCCATTGCTATACTTTACTATATAATTTTCTTGCATAATATATCATAAAATAAATAATATGTCCTCAAAACAATTACCTATAACAGTCTCTTTTACTTCTACCTGGCAATATCCCAGTTTTAGCTAGGGTCTGCCTTACATGTTGTGAATATTTTTGGCTAATTGTTTTTACGACCGCCCGCCTGCCTGACATCAACCTTCTTTGGAAATGCATTAATCAGTGATCTCTAAATACTCTTAGAAAGTACATATGACTCGGAAAAATCACATTGGTACTTTGCAAGGGCCAGGATCGAACCCACGCCCTCGTGCATGGGTAGCGGGCCATTTAACCACAAGGCCACCACTGACTTCGATTACCTATAACAGTATATTTGAAAAATTAAATTTAAACTTTCACATTAATCAATCATAGGGATATAACAAGCAAAACTTGACCATTATAAAATGATTTAAATTATTAACACCTTTAGCTAGCAAACCATATATACGAGTACATGTTTATGTTTGTGTGTCTGTGTGTGTGTGTGTATATGTGTGTGTATATATATGATGGTCATCTGTACGTCAGTCATATACCCAGGAGCTGGTTTATTGGAACCCATCACACCGCCCCATGTCTCGCTAATACCAGGTGACATATGTCACTTGAACTATCCGCTTAGTAACGTAATCTCCAAATACACTCTGTCATACTTGAACAAGTGTGACAGAGTTTTTGTTGTACATAAGAAATTAATTAAATAGAAAATATAACTGTAATAAAGTTATATAGTATACTTAAATATTATTCATCTCTTTATTTTAAAAACATTACAATTTAATTGAGGGAATTTATTTAAATAATATTGCACAGTTTGTAAGCCACTAGATCCTCATATTTCTAAAGTAACAAGATCAAATGTAACCGCTTCAATGGTAATATTTTTATATATTAATTCCAAAATACACTTCAACAACGAATCAATCCCTTAGCAATATTGTTTATGCCTTTTCTCATTCAATAATTTGTTTGAACTTACTTTAGATAAAATACGTATGAAAGATAGTTATAAAATTGCATTAAATTGTAAAAATTAACCCTTAAAATATATGTAAGTAAAATGATTAAAGGTATATTTATATAGCTTTATCTCAGAATGTATTAATTTCAATATATAAGAGTCCCCTAGCGTTTGTAAAGATAACGTTGTGTCGTAGACAAGGGAAATTATCTGATTATCTGGCGCAGATGGCAGTAAAAAGTAAGTGAAGTGTACCGCGCTCACCTCAGCGAAAATACAATTAGATTCGTCTCGAGAGACTGACGCCGCCCGCATTATACACTAGGAGCCTACACCTCAATTAAATCCTACATTAATAATTAATATATATACATATACTTAATACAAGACAGACCCTGATCTGCCAGGATCTGGTAAGGCAGACCCTGGCTATAGCTGGGAAATTGCCAGGTAGAAAAAGGATACTTAATAGAAGAATCCGAAACAATTTAATCACACTTATTATTCAACATCAACTGAAACTATTATGAATACTTTAAACTGTAAAAACAAGGTTTGTTTCTGATCAATTACAATGAAATTTTTTTGAATAGATGATATTATTATAGTCTTATATTATAATCAGGTTCATTGTCTCTTTAAGAAAGTTACTGTAAAGTGTTTTAAACTTTTTTCTGAGTAATAATTGGTAAATGTAAGAGATAGCCTCTTAGACTATAAGGTCCTGCGTCTCATTTACATATAAATTGTTGGTAACTCACGTGTCGTTCTTACTTTTAACTGGTGTAACCGCACGACTCTGCTCGCTTGAATTTAGATACAAATGTTTTACATATTCAATTCGTCCACAACCAAAAAACTCCTTGCCATTTTATAATATGTGCTAAAAGGAATTAAATTTTATATAATCAAAGCATGTGCATCTTAATTTTTATAATGTATATTCTATACAATAACATGTCAAGAAAGCACTTGAAAGAGATATATATCGGAGTAAGTGGACAGTGTAATTCAATTTACGAAATTAGATTTTCCGTCAAGTTACCTGCGTCTTCACCCCACGTCGCATGTTATGATATGAGTTATGGCAAAAGATATCATGATGTTGGCGCCAATGTTTGAACAAATATTGGAGCCAATATTGGTTGAAAAAATAACTTTATACACCGAAGACAACCAAATAAGAATTAATACACTTCATTCAGGTAAATATAGAAAATGAATACAGCAATCTTTTGAGTTATAAAAGTTATTTTAATACTTTTCAGAGGAGAAAAATATGAACTTTCATATACTAACCACTTATTTGGCAATTCTGGCGAATGTTTGCCAAAAATTCGACAAAGACGGGGGTCGAGTATTAGATTATAAGAAGTGGGGTCACGAAGACAGAAAATGGACAATGGCTTTGGAAAATATATGATATCTTTGTGTTAAAATTGTTGTTCATTTGTTACATGAGAGTTACCTTTATAAGAAATATCTTTGAAAAAGAAATAAACATAGAATATAATATATTAATATTAAAAAAGCTGAAATAGTTTTAATTATGTCTGATTAAAATTCGATTAATCTTCGATTGTCTAAAACGTTACGATGACCATAAACCACTATATAAGGCAAATTAACTGCAATATTTATAAAGATCGTATCAACAATTAAGTTACAATTTTTATTTCTTAACCATAAATTTCTAAAGAAGCAACCTTACAACTTGAAGGAAAACAAGAGGCTCTTTACATTCACAGACATCTATACACTTATTACAATATTGTAATATTTTTGGCGATAAAATAAAGTTTTTCAAATGAAGATATTACTATTACATAAAAGATTTTTTTTTTGAAACAAAGAAGATTATTTTTATATTTATTTAAGTTTAGAATAGTATTAAACTTTTAAGCAATGACAATCCGATGTTTATTGTGTAATGTCGTGTCGTATCCGGATCGTGACAATGAAACAGTATCTCTGGGGCATTTCTAAATCAAAACACGGCCCGTTACTCAGGAGAGTGACTTGCGGAAAATTGGAAAACGAAACAAGGTGAAAAATATTATGAAGTGAAGCGCTCAGCGGACGACCACAGCTCATGGGACCGGGATATATAGGGAGTTCCTCACTTATATGGCTCATATTGAACTGGACGGTTTATTACTTTAATAATTACGAAAAATATGTGGGAAGTTTCATTATATACACGTGTCTTTTGTATAGTGTTTTTTGTACATATTTGCCATACCTGACCTAGTATTAGAGAACAATGAACCCTGAATAAGTGTATGTATATTATTGGAATTTATCTACATAGTCCACCCATATTTTCTGGTACAAAGTCTCAGCAAAACAATTAAACAATTTTCAAGCAAATGGCATCTTGTTTCTTATATACAAGCCTTTAATCTGTTTGGCCACTATTAAATACAATATACGTCTTCAATTTAAATAAAGTTTTTCTATTACACTATTTATTGCTAGACTAGTTTCGTATAATATTTTCAACATTTAAAAATCAAGTCACAGAGAATATCTCGACACATAAATATTTATTTTCGTGTCCATCGATTCTTCTATCAAAGGACAAATGCGGAGATTACTCTGAACCCCAAGTTTACTCCTATAAAGGTATCCATTCATTGACAGTCAATTGAGCCTACAAATCGCTCTACGGCTCCTTAACGACAGCCTTTTAGCGAGGGTCCCATGCATTAACCTTAAAGATTTGCTTTATTGCGTGTGTACATGACTTTAATGTACCATATAAGAATTCTTTAAGCATCCCACTCTGTATTTTTTGTATGTAATTGTGCGTGTTATTCATTCACGCTGGATTTACATATTTTTAACATTCCTTCACATGCAACCGGAATAATCTGTCTCATCGGGGAATATGGCATTCAAATATTTTATAGTACTGTACGAAAATGAGTATGGATAGATAAAATAATTAAGAATATGATGTAAATAGAAATATATGTAAGTACTTAAATGTGTTTGAAGCAGCCCGTTAGTTAGTAATCGTATATAATGTTTTATATTTCTCAGTAGCCATAGGAGTTATTGTTATCATTATAGCAATAAAATGAGGCATACTCAATTATTTGTTTGAAGTACCCGTAATTTAATTCTAAAGCTATTATTTTTTTTTTGTATCCTTCTTCAATGGTTTAGTTATAACTTAAATAAATTAAATTATTAAATGTCGTCATACCAAAAGGCGAATTATTAACGTTATCGGTTTTCAAAAATCTAATACAGAATTATAAATAAGCACCTCCATATATCTTTGTATACAACATAATGACCCAATATTCAAAAACAGTTGTTTCTGATTGTGTGTACGTTTGGTTCTTATTTAAATTCTCTAAAGCTACACATAAAACGCGTATACTATAGAAAGGCATAAACAATTATGTATTGTATACAAATTATATTTGTTACTATACGTTACACCTAGATGAGAATCCTTTTCTCTTATAACATTTCAGTAACAACACGAGCGAGCCACGCTACACTACATCAAAGGTAAACTGTTAATTTTATCCTTGCTTCCGTATTTCACGGACGAACCCCACACCTCTTTACGACTGCTCTCTGATAGCTGCAATTACGATGGACCTCGCCACAGCATAACATAGATAACACTATTTAAATATATACATATATATATAGGTTTCACATATTAAAATATCTTTATAACCATTTGGCTGCAAGAAAAAAGAACCAAGTAATTATGCTGTGGTTATCTTACTGAATATAGGTATTATTTTAAAATTCTCATACTAAGATTAATGAGAAAATTGCTGAGTATAAAAAAGATGTTAATAACTTAATGATATATATATAATTGCTAGTTTTTAATATCATAATATAACAATGCATGTCCACACAAGACTGACTAGTTCTACTCTTTGTAATTAATAGTGGTCGCCCCCTCAGTCTTGTTACCTACGTTTCTTACAGACCTTCCTGAAGCCACTGATACATTCAATATACTTAAAAATATTCTAAGAATAAATATGATATGTATATAATAAGATATCGTTATAATATTTAAGTTTCTTAAGAATAAAACATTCATTAACACCCATCTACAAACATATATGTGTATAATATGGATTATATAATACATTACTATGGAAATACTATTCATATTTTAATCATCGTAAATGTATTTATAACAAAAATGAAAGTAGACAAAAAAATGTAAACACAAAAAGGAATACAAAACTCAATCAACGTCCGGCTGTGATGGATGGAATTGATTTTGAAAACAATTAGTTTTGTCCATTCGTCTGGCGATCTGTTCGCGAGGTTACCTACAATATAATGTTCATAACAATTACTTACATTATACCTAAGTTCTAGTAACAAATCTGTTCAATAAATACCAACAGTAAGACATTCTCTGTAATGGATATCTATTTGCTTGTGTTCAGGACTCGGTAACACTACACCACCTTTTAACGCAGCAAACAGGTGCTTACGTGGTATCAACGACTTGCTTTTCTAATGTATTTGTGGTATCAAATAATATTTACTTTTAGTATCATTTCGCCATTAGAGAAGATAGTCATTTTCAGAATAGCAGATTATACCAATTCTTCAAATTATACCAAATCTTCAATTTTCTACCAAAAATCAATGTTATAATTTTAATCATAATCATCTTCCTTTATACAATTAGGTAATTTTCTCTGGCATCAAAACTAAAACAAACTTTCTAATCCAGTCAAAACTTACTTGGAAATACGCTAAAAATACATATAGGTATACGAAATATTATCAAAAATCCTTATAACATATGAAGGTAAGAAATTGTCACATATAGATGTTGAAGGATTTCATACAATTTGAAACATTATCGTTTCATTGTGGCTTGTTAATGGTGAACCGGAACAGAGCAATTTTTAGGTCGATTTGATTCAATGTCTCTAAGTACGGGTGTGTCGGCGTGAGCACGTGCGGTTAGCCAGGTAATCTATAGCCACTTACCGACTGACGGTGAAAGCTTCACTTAGCCGACACGTTAACACTTCATTGGAGCACCATTTATATTTTACACTTATATACTACCTTTAACAGAATCACTTAATTTAACTATATAAAAAATAACTATTTAAATATATGAATTGGTCTTAATATGAAAGCTTATAATAACAATAATCTTATAATTAATTTGTATTCTATTTTCCTGTATTTTTAAAGAAAACCGAGAATTTTGTTCTTTCTCAACGATCAAAACTAATCAAAGACTCCTAAAGCTGAAGCTACTGTTTTATTTAGAAGTAATTTTCTGCAGGTGACTGCTCGCTCGCAAACTTATATTTACTATTAATTTATTGTAATTTGAACCGTATTCCTTTATTAATACAAACCAATTGTTATTAACACTATGTCTCTGTATAAATATCTAACGGTTGGTGACGTTTAATCTCGCACTGCGCGATATCATGTCCCCGTCTTAGTGAGGGAAGTAATCATGAATTTATAAAAAATTAATAATTAGAATCGAATTAAACTTGATTTTATGTAGTAATGACATGAATTTGAAAAATCTGATATGACCCAGAGGTTTCTTACAGAAATATTTCTAATAAATTCTATCGATATTAGTGTAGGACTTCACTAGCCACGCGTCTGCAGAAATTCAATTAACATTACCTCCAGTCGCATGCACCTTTATTTCCTTTCGGAGTCACTTAACCTCTGCCCCTTCCTCCCTTTCCCTCCCCCTGTCCTCCCTCCCTCCACCCCTCCAGGGGGTAAGACGCCAGTAATGAGGTCCGGTGATCGTTTAGTTTGTACGTAATGGCTTACGTGAGTTCGAGACAGTTTTGGGGTCGGCTTAAGATCTTGACTCTGCGTTTATTTTTATTACGCGTTTGTTTCATGCCGTCTACTCGACTTACTCTATCTATGCACATATAAAACGGTATTTAAATACAACAGACCTGAACACTATATAGTAATAACTTTCAATCATGAATTAGCCATCAATTTTCTCTCTTTACATCTACCTACATGTTTTGAAGTCATTGTATGTATATTCATCAAATGTTACATAAGTTTTTATCGTTTACAATATCGTAAAAACAAAATAGGTGTGTCCAGAGGTGACGGAGACGGATCGCTCGTGATCTTCCTCTCAGATACCGGCGTTGGATGCTGCTATCAGACGCTCGTGATGGCCGGAGATAAGAATACTTTAAATTGGCTCCGACTATACATTCTATACTACGCGTTATTTATATGCCATTGATGTTTTATAGCTATTTTATTTTTGGCATCTATTTGATTTATAATTTATTAACGACTATACCCTAAACATGATCAGGTTCTAAAAATGACATGTAAAAATTAAGCAAATCAATAGTATACAATTAGCTCTTGTTATGTACCATATTTCTAACATGTTTAATC